AAACCTGTTTCTTATCCATCCTTACTCTTTTTAAACCTGGTTCATGTCAATCTTTACTCTTTATAAACCTGTTTCTTTTCCATCCTTACTCTTTTAAACCTGGTTCTTATCTATCCTTACTTTTTATAAACCTGTTTCTTATCCATCCTTACTCTTTTTAAACCTGGTTCTTATCCATCCTTACTCTTTTTAAACCTGTTTCTTATCCATCCTTACTCTTTATAAACCTGTTTCTTTTCCATGAAAATGTGCAACTTCAGTTAAAGTTTGACACGCAGCAGCAATGACAACCAACACTGGAAGAAAACAGAGGTCCCTAGATGCAAGAGAAAGAATAAAGTTTGTTGTTGATGCTTTTGACAGCATGCCAAGAGCAGATTATATTTCTACTTTGGCCCATGATAGGCAAAAATTTGACCAATAAAATATGTAATAAATCATGTAATAATATTAGTATCATTTATTTATTGCTTGACAATGTCTATAGGCATTCAATTCAGTCTAATGTTATCTAGGCATTGGATGACTAGGCATTATGAAATCTAGGCATAATGTTTTCTAGGCATTCAGAAATATAGGCATAATGGTATATAGGCATTCATGAATCTAGGCATGGTGTTATCTAGGCATAATGTTATCTAGGCATTACGAATTAGGCATTCATGAATCTAGGCATAGTGAACTAGGCATTCACGAACTAGGCATTTGGGAACTAGGCATAATGTTACTGAGCCATCCTTACTCTTTTAAACCTGTTTCTTATCCATCCTTACTCTTTTTAAACCTGTTTCTTATCCATCCTTACTCTTTTAAACCTGTTTCTTATCCATCCTTACTCTTTTTAAACCTGTTTCATATCCATCCTTACTCTTTTTAAACCTGGTTCTTATCCATCCTTACTCTTTTTAAACCTGGTTCTTATCCATCCTTACTCTTTTTAAACCTGGTTCTTATCTATCCTTACTCTTTTTAAACCTGTTTCTTATCCATCCTAACTCTTTTAAATTTGGTTCTTATCTATCCTTTCTCTTTTTAAACCTGTTTCTTATCCATCCTTACTCTTTTTAAACCTGTTTTTATCAATCCTCACTCTTTTAAACCTGTTTCTTCTCCATCCTTACTCTTTTTAAACCTGTTTCTTATCCATCCTTACTCTTTTTAAACCTGTTTTTATCAATCCTTACTCTTTTAAACCTGGTTCTTCTCCATCCTTACTCTTTTTAAACCTGTTTCTTATCCATCCTTACTCTTTTTAAACCTGTTTTTATCAATCCTTACTCTTTTAAACCTGTTTCTTCTCCATCCTTACTCTTTTTAAACCTGGTTCTTATCTATCCTTACTCTTTTTAAACCTGTTTCTTATCCATCCATACTCTTTTAAATTTGGTTCTTATCTATCCTTACTCTTTTTAAACCTGTTTATTATCCATCCTTACTCTTTTTAATCCCGATACTTATCCATTCTTACTCTTTTTAAATTTAGTTTTATCCATTCTTACCCTTTTGAAACCTGGTTCTTATCTATCTTTACTCTTTTTAAATTTGGTTCGAAGATAAGGATAATGTACAGAGGCGCAACTAGGGGGGGGAACATAACCAGAAATAGGGAAAAGTGGTATAAAAACCTTGGTTTGAATATATTTCTGTACTAAATATCCCTATTAAGTATTTAAGTAAAAGTAAGAGACGAGTTAATTGACGAGTTTTTCAGCTACTGTCGACGCACATACTAAGAGAAAAGCAGTTTTGCGTAAATAATCTTAACAATCTTAACTATTACAAGTAAGTTAGTAAAGTTTATTTTTAACATTTTTCACTTATTTTTAAAAAAGGGGGAACTGAGGATAACTTATGCTTCAAGGGCGTATACAGGAATAAATCTAGGGGGGGGGAGCAACAGTTAAATTTTTAATGCTACTTTCAACTGCAATGCTACTTAAACTAATTAAAGACATTTTTGTAAAGGAATAACTTAATTAAAACTTAAAATCACAAGATGAAAAAAATTAATTATGACTGATAAAATATTTAATTTTGAGTAAAAACATAAATTTTTTTATAATTCTTGGAACACACTCTGATCCTTCCATCCCTGTGCAACTCTGCAACCCAATGTCTTATACGTAATTGATATTTAAAACTATGATTTAGCTTTCAGCTCAATAGTTTTAGTTTGGAATATAAAAGGTTTACACCATCAAGTTGCAAAGAAAGAGGGATTAAAAAATTTAAGTATTTGACAAGAACAAATTCCTTTATGATACGATGCAGGGGACTGTAAACGTAAATTCAAGTGACCCGGTCCATTTATAGAATTGCATGTCCGATTCACACGGTACCTTAAAAGCTTTGTCTGATCAATAACGATTAAGCTATCGGAATTTTTAAATTATTTTTAATTTGATTTTCTCTAGAAGAGAGAGAAACACGTTAGGTTTTTTTTCAGAAGTAACCAATTTTTTAATCTTTTTTAATTTACGACTTTCATCTTCCACATTATTGAATTAAGGTGAATAAAGAGTGCCTCGGTAACCATTTAAAAATGTACATTGTGCATTGATAAACAAAGAAATCAAGTCATTGCCACAAACTCTAATTTTGACTGTTGTAGACTTAGAAATTTTAAGCTACAGGGTTTCCCACGAAACAAGACAGTTGGTAAATAGTTTAGAATGTCTTCTTTCATAATTTGTAAAGTTGTTTAATACCACAAACAATAAAAGGAGTCATATTATAGTAAAATTAACTTCAAAGTAGAATATATTTGAGCAAAAGATTTTTAAATCGAAATAGACTGCAAACAGCCTTTAATATCTATAACAGTGTATGGAAGACGACATTCAAAACTATTTACCAACTGTCATGTTTCGTGGGACACCCTGTATATGAATTCTGTTCAAATAATGTAAGATCAGGGGGATGATAGTTCTACCTGTGTGCTCATTTAGCTGTACTGCACACTTACAACTGTTTACTAATAATGGTATACTGTAGATTAGGCCAGAATCAACTTATAATAAACAAATATGCAGTACGCTCTCGAGTAGGCCTGTAAAATTACTAAAGGATTAGCGTACATCATCACTCTATGCACTATAACCTCGTTGTGTAAGATTGAGACAATATCATCATTAGCTAGCTGTTGCAAATATATAAGGATTAGGAAATTTGAGTTTGTGGCAAGACTCAAAATTGCTCTCGATCGGCTTTTCGTATTCTCAGCATTTAGATTTCATATATCAAACTATCATTTAGATTTCATATATATATCAAACTATCATTTAGATTTCATATATATATCAAACTATCATTTAGATTTCATATATATATCAAACTATCATTTAGATTTCATATACATATCAAACTATCATTTAGATTTCATATATATATATCAAACTATCATTTAGATTTCATATAATCAAACTATCATTTAGATTTCATATATATATCAAACTATCATCTGTTTAATTGGTCAATTTAATTTAGATTTCTTACCAGTAAACTTAAATGTAGTATAGGACGGAGATAGGGGTTGTGTTAGGTCGGGTTTTGTCTTCGTAATATGACGGAGGTAGGGCTGTTTCAGATCGGGTTTTGTCTTGTTAAAGGACGGATAAAGTGGTTGTGTTAGGTCGGGTTTTGTATTGTATAGGACGGAGGTTGGGGTTGAGGTCGGAGTTTGTCTTGTTAAAGGAAAGAGTTAGGTGTTGTGAACTTGGGTCGGGTATTGTCTTCAAAAAAGGACGGATAAAGTGGTTGTGTATAGGTCGGGTTTTGTATTGTATAGGACGGAGGTAGGGGTTGTGTTAGGTCGGGTTTTGTTATGTTAAAGGACGAAGTTAGGGGTTGTGTTGGGTCGGTTTTTTGTCTTGTTATAGGACGGTGGTAGGGGTTTGTTGGGTCCTATGTTATAGGACGGAGGTAAGGTTTGTGTTGGGTCGGGATTTAACTTAAATTATAGAGCGGAGGTAGGGGTTGTGTAGGGTCGGGTTTTGTCTTGTATATGACGGAGGTAGGGGTTGTGTTGGGTCGGGTTTTGTCTTGTTTATGACGGAGGTAGGGGTTGTGTAGGGTTGGGTTTATTCTTGGTATAGGACGGAGGTATGGTTGTTTTGGGTAGGGTTTTGTATGTTAAAGGACGGCTTAGTAGGGGTTATGTTAGGTCAGATTTTGTCTTGATATTAGGCGGAGTTAAAGTGGTAGGGGTTTGTTGGGTCCTATATGTTATAGGACGGAGGTAAGGTTTGTGTTGGGTCGGGATTTAACTTAAATTATAGAGCGGAGGTAGGGGTTGTGTAGGGTCGGGTTTTGTCTTGTATATGACGGAGGTAGGGGTTGTGTTGGGTCGGGATTTGACTTGTTATAGAACGGAGATAGGGGTTGTGTAGGGTAGGGTTTTGTCTTGTATATGACAAAGATAGGGGTTGTGTTGGGTCGGGTTTAGTCTTGTATATGACGAAGGTAGGGGTTGTGTTGGGTCGGGTTTTGTCTTGTTTATGACGGAGGTAGGGGTTGTGTAGGGTTGGGTTTATTCTTGGTATAGGACGGAGGTATGGTTGTTTTGGGTAGGGTTTTGTATGTTAAAGGACGGCTTAGTAGGGGTTATGTTAGGTCAGATTTTGTCTTGATATTAGGCGGAGTTAAAGGTTGTTTTAGTTCGGATTTTGTATGGTATAGGACGGAGGTAGGGTTTGTGTTGGGTCGGGTTTTGTCTTGTTATTGGATGAAAGTAGTTGTTGTTTTGGGTCAGGGTTTGTCTAGTATAGGGTGCTCTAGGGGGTTTTAATAAGTCGGGTTTTTGTCTTGTTATAGGACGGAGGTAGGGGTTGAGTTGGGTCGGGTTTTGTCTAGTGTATAGTCGAATGATGAGAAAGTTTAGAATGGCCCCCGCCGCCCGAGTCTAGCAGAGTACACTGTCTGTATCAGGTATACGCACTCAGGGCAGCTCTAGTTCAGTCTAAACTCAATACTGGAGTTTTCTTCTAATCCATCCCAACACTGCCAGTTCTAGCACGGACCCGGAACATTTAGAATCTTCTTTAACCGCGCCCACTTTACGTGCACCGTGCGCAAGCACAGTGGCCTTGGTATCTTTATTGTGTACACATCTTGATACTAACTAGGCGCGTTAAATTTTACGTGCTTTACTTGGAAGTATTAAGAGTTAAAATTAAATATCTTTCTTAAATACTTTTTAAAGAATTTGTTTTGGGTCCGTCCTAGAGAACGATTTTGGACCCTTCGTTTTAAACATGCATTCCATTAAAACTGGTAAAAACTTTACACAATTTTGAACAATATTTTTTGTTGTAAATTGTTCGTGGGTAATTTCCTAGTATACGATTTTTGGCCCAGACCCTGTTCGTGCTTCATATTTTTCTCATTTCGTATCAATAATCTTGACAAACCATATTATAGATTGAATATATTTTATTTTCAGATTAGGTATGTTCTTCTAGACTGATCATACGGGTGATAAGATCACTATGTTTCCCCGGAGACATCGGAGTTTAATCTTCAAGCTCCTGGTCGGGATACCGGTCGTTTGGATCCTGGCTCTCATGTTCTTCTACTCAGAGAACAAGACGGAGAACTCCGTCCCGGCTGTGAACAAACCCGCTGCGCTAGTGCAGGACGGAGTTAACATCGGAGAAACTCCGTTGACGGAGATCGCTGTCGTAAGCGAGGAGACTAGAAAGGAGAAACATGTTGATGTTGGAGTTCTAGTTGCTCCCCATGATCCGGAGGGACCTGGAGAAATGGGGAAACCAGTGAAAATTGATAAACCGGAGAAAGATATAAAAAAGAAAATCGATGATGGTTGGCGAGATAATGCATTTAATCAGTATGTCAGTGATCTTATATCTGTACATCGAACCCTTCCTGATCCCAGGGATGATTGGTGCAAGGAGAAAGATAGATTTCTCTCCGATCTTCCTAAAACCAGTGTTGTTGTGTGTTTTCACAACGAGGCCTGGTCTGTTCTTCTACGAACCGTTCATTCAATTCTAAATCGATCTCCTAAGCATTTAATCGACGAAATTATCCTTGTCGACGACGCATCGACGATGGATCATCTGAAGGATGAGTTGGAGAAGTATGTGGATCAGTATCCACAAGTGAAGATTGTCCGAGCCCCAGAACGTGTTGGATTAATCAGAGCTAGACTTTTAGGAGCTAAATATGTGAAGGCTCCGGTTGTAACCTTCCTTGATTCCCACTGCGAGTGCACAGAAGGCTGGTTAGAGCCGCTGCTCGACAGGATAGCTAGAAATTCGACCAATGTCGTCTGCCCTGTCATCGATGTGATAAACGACGACACTCTGGAGTATCATTACAGAGACTCCGGTGGAGTAAATGTCGGAGGTTTCGACTGGAACCTTCAATTTAACTGGCATGCTGTTCCAGAACATGAAAAGAAAAGACATTCCAACACCGCGGAAGCGGTTAGAAGTCCGACCATGGCCGGCGGACTTTTTTCTATCGACATGAAGTTTTTTGAAACCCTGGGAACTTATGATTCTGGGTTTGATATCTGGGGAGGAGAAAACCTGGAGTTATCTTTTAAAACCTGGATGTGCGGCGGTACTCTAGAGATTGTTCCTTGTTCTCACGTCGGACATATTTTCAGAAAAAGGTCCCCGTACAAGTGGAGGTCGGGTGTCAACGTACTCCGACGAAACTCTATTCGTCTGGCCGAAGTTTGGTTGGACGATTTTAAAAAGTATTATTATGATAGAATCGGCCATGACCTAGGGGATTATGGTGACGTGTCAAGTCGGAGGAAGCTGAGAACAGACCTCCAGTGTAAATCCTTTAAATGGTACTTAGACAACATCTACCCGGAGTTGTTTATACCCGGAGAAGCTGTTGCGTCCGGAGAAATTAAAAACCCTTGGTCCAACCAGTGTGTAGATTCAGCGGCCAAACGTGAGGATATGCACAAAGCCGTCGGACTATGGCCGTGTCACAATCAGGGCGGAAACCAGTATTGGATGCTGTCGAAAACCGGAGAAATTCGGCGGGACGAATCCTGTCTTGACTACGCCGGGACGGACGTTATTTTGTATCCTTGTCACGGTTCGAAAGGGAACCAGTTCTGGGTTTATGATCATGATACAGAGACACTGAGACACGGAAGTTCTCGTAGATGTCTCGCAATTAATAAATCCAAGGATAAGCTCCACATGGAGGATTGCTCAGAAGATCATGAGAGACAAAGATGGAGATTCCAGAACTTCGATCCATCCAAACAAAACTAGAGATCCTACAAAGTGAATAAAGTAAGATTGTAGATTTTTGCCGACTTTGTCAACATATTGATCGATTGACACCAAGTAGTAAATTGATAGGAACAAATTGATTTTTAAATAACCACCCTAATTATACATATTTTAATTGTTTGTTAAGCAGTGACGCCTACATATATGCTGAGAAATTTCTATCCTTACATACTATTTAATCCTACGTCCATGTTCCTCCAGCTTTCCTATTCACAGCTGGAAATAGTTGAGAAAGTCCTGTTGACTTCTCATTTATTCACATTATCTGAACCTAAGCCTGTCAACTAGAAAAGTTTAATTCTAATCTTTTAAAAAGTTCAAACCCCAAACCTTGTAATACCAGAAAGTGATAAAAGAATCACTGTTTTCACATTTTATTTTTCCTATCTTTTACTGATAAATTCCCGCATTTTATTTGTCCTGCAACTTTTTAGTTTTCAGTGACCTAAGTGCCATAGTTACAGCTTTTACACAAAAAAGTATCAAACCAGGGGCGGGGTGTATACAAAGGGACCTTTTTTGACATCGGGGGGGGGGGGGGGGCTAAGTCCCACTTCCCCTTTGTATACGACCCCGAAGCCCTGTTTTTCTTGCCTTCAACTGGTCACCCATTATAAATGTAAAATACTATTTGTTTTAATGATCACATATCGGCGTCTCTAATATAAAAATGTGATATATATAATTTAAAATATGCCTCACTTCTAATTGAATTTAAGGCTCCTTTTTATTGTTAACGATTTCTTAGTCACAAAGAAATAAGAAGATACTTTTTTAAGGTTGGGGGTGGGGGGGGTGGGAAGGCCTTGAAGAGAAAAATTAGTCTAAATTAAAACAAATTTTTTTTGAATAGCATTCTCTATATTCAATGCAAAACGTTGTATGTTTATACATTCATTGATTTCACTCTCATTTTTCCCAGGGATTTAATTTCACTCAACAATTACCCCAGGCTGAAATTTCCCTCAAATTTGATGTTTTTACGGTTCCTGGTTTCTCTCTGAATACACGAGTAAATCTTAATTGTCAATTAAATCAAATACAACCAGGCAATTGACTGTTGTGTGAACAAAAAATAAATAACATTAAAATAAATTTCTCCAACGTAAGTCTTGAACTGCATTTTGGTCAGTTACAAAAATGTAGAGGTTTCTATTAGTTCCAACCTAATTATTTTGTTTTAAACTTTATGCATCAAACAACAGTTAAGTTTGGAAAACTAAATTCTTTGCAAAATTATTGATAACCGTTTTTTATTTTTGACCCCGTCAAGGAGCGTGTAGATTTTCGCAGTTAATAGTTTTTCTTGAAAAAGTATCTTCTTTAAAATAAGATTTGAAAAGATTTAATGGAGAACCTAGAATAGATTAAAACGACCAGATAATAACATTTTAAATTAAAAACCGCTAGAACCAAAGTTAACTAAAAAAACCTAGTCGCCATATCAAAAATCGGTGCTTTGTATTTTTAAAACGTAGGTTCCCATTTTGCTTTAAGAAGTGAAGGGTTAAGATTATTTTAACTTACAAGCTTCAAGTTCCTGTGTAACCCGTCTAAACGTGCGAAACCCGAATAAAATAATCCGCGAAAATAAATTTTAAAAATCCATGGTTTGAATTGCAGGAAGAAGATTTTCAACCTTTGGTTCATCTTAACCTTTCACGAAGCTTGGATTGGTTATAGGAAACCTTGGTGCATATACACGTTCATAAAAATAGGGAAGGGGGAGGAGTGAACTTGACCGGGTTGGGGTAAGCGATTCTCTTATTGTATTCAAACTTGCCCCCCCCCCCCATCCCACAAAATGTCATTGTTTTAGAATGATTTTTTGTTGCCTATTTATTCATATTTTTTATTATGATTATTATAAAATTCATTTGATTGCCAATGCTCGGCATTTTATTTGTTTTTATTGATTTGAATTGAGCCTAATGTGACAAATGGCCAATATTATTTTAAACTGTTTGTGATATAAAATAGTTACATATTTTTAATTTAAAATTTTATTATAAATTTTACTCCCTAAATTTAAAAGATTAATTTATGGCATTTAAAACTGTATCAAAATAGCATTTGCACATGCGAAATGGGACCATTTCCGTTCCTTTGTATTTACTTTGATTACTTTTTGTTTAAATATATTTGTGATATTATATGTCAATGTGTTGCTTCTGTTTTTTTATGCACGTTCAATTTGAAACCTTAAGACTTGAAATCAAGAAATAAAAAAAAACTGTAAAAAGTTTTATTTCACGTTTGAACATTCCATATTTTAAGTATTAATTGTTAAAAAATATACAGTTGTATTTGAATCAAGGAGTATAAGTTTAAAGTTTTCGTTTGAAACCTGCTCCAGGCGTAAAGTATATACATGAGAAGAGTGCGCTCTATCTTTACTCTACACTATTGCAGAGAGAAATGAAGCTCTCGGCTCTCCGCTCAGTCATGTCTCAAGTCCCTAAAAGTGGACTCGCCACCTCGGCTCCTAAAATGGAAGGTTTTAGGGTGGAGAGAGATACTTTTGGAGAGCTTCAGGTTGGTGTTATGGTTAATTAATGAGCTTTTAATGAGTTTTTTGTTGAATTTTCTTTGCATATACCCGGGGTTGCATGTGGGGGGGGGGCGCTATAGCTAGAATACTTCACATAGTTAAAGATAAGAATTATTAAATTCAACAATTTGAAAAGTCTGTTTAAAATCAAATATCTGGGAATGACAGAAAATTCATGAAATGCAACGGTTTTGTACAAACATATATTTACTCCGAGTTGGTTGTTAACCACAGGAGAAAATACGTATCTAGAGAAACACAACCGGTTATTCAACCTGTCAATTTGTCGGAAAATTCCTAAATAATGACGGGACGGGATCAGCTGGTTTAAGCATGCCAGGTTTAGCTGTAGTACAAATGAGGAGGGGGAGGGGGGTTCAAAGAGGGGATGGGGGAGGGGATTTAAAAAAAATTCAATTCAAAGAATGTTCAATTTCTTAATGAAAGTGAGTTTTTAAAATATCTATTAAATTTTACATCAAAACGGCTGAACCGATCGTGTCCAAACTTAGTAAAATTTTAAGTTCTAAACTTCTATTCTAAAATTTATGGAATCGATATTGCTTTAAAAGTCAAGAAGAAGAACACTTTGAATGATTTGCATGTGTAATAAAATAGATGACGGAGATAAGGTTCTTTAATGTCCTTCCAGTGAAGATAAAGATGAAAAAGATTCATTGCTTTAACACTCATAGGTGTAGCATTTCAATCAGAGTAATTTATTTTAGGAATAGGATTAAAGCAATTCAGGGGCTTACTTATGCAGTTTATCTGCCATAGAGAGGAGGAAATACACTAGAAATATTTTTATATTTTTAATTATATATAGGATATACTCTATATTATCTAGTATCTAGGATATACTATATATTATCTAGTATCTAGGATATACTCTATATTATCTAGTATCTAGGATATACTCTATTTTATCTAGTATCTAGGATATACTCTATATTATCTAGCATTAGGATATATCCTGTATTATCTAGTATCTAGGATATACTCTATATTTTCTAGTATCTAGAATATACTCTATTTTATCTAGTATCTAGGATATACTCTTTATTATCTAGTATTAGGATATATCCTGTATTATCTAGTATCTAGGATATACTCTACATTTTCTAGTATCTAGAATATATCCTGTATTATTTAGTATCTAGGATATACTCTATATTATCTAGTATCTAGAATATATCCCGTATTATCTAGTATCTAGGATATACTCTTTATTATCTAGTATCTTGGATATATTCTATATTTTCTAGTATCTAGAATATATCCTGTATTATCTAGTATCTAGGATAAACCCCGTATTTTTATATAGTATCTAGGATATATCCTGTATTATCTAATATCTAGGATGTAACCTCTATTATTTGCTATATAATATGTATCCTAGAATTTCTGACACAACGTAAATAAACCCAAGAAAAATAAACATGTCTATTGTTTAGATCCAATGTTAACCTTCCTTTTTATGTAGGGGTGCATATTTTACAGGATTTTACCTTCCTCAATGGTGGGAAGGGGAGGGGTGTGGGGGGAGTTTAATATTCTTGAGGCTCACAAAAACAAAAATGGGATTTTTAAGTGATTTTTGCCTCTTAGATTGTGTAATGTGTGGGAATAATATATTGATTGAGGTTTTCTGAAGTTTTCTGAAGTAAATTAATTTTGGTTTTTTATTAAATATTGTTTATGGCTTGTTAAATCAACAAATCAGCTTATTGACATTATTATCAGATGATAGACTATCTTTCATCAGTAATTTCATATTTCATCATTCAGGCAACTGATAGAAAGATCATTTATCTTTTACTGACGATCAATTTATCTCTTTTCTCAGTCTACCAATTATAACTTAATCTCTTCTTAACGATCATAAATTATAATTTAGATTGCTGGAGCGATCAGTCAAGCTGCCGATGAAGTGATCTCTGGCCAACTGTACGACGATCATTTCCCCCTGGTGATCTGGCAAACTGGGTCTGGAACCCAATCCAACATGAACACCAACGAGGTTAAGTCTACTGGGCCGGACGGGGGGGGAGGTATTCCGGGTGGTGTATTTTTTGTCTCTATCCCCATAGAGAAAGCATTTTTTTTGCTCGCCCGGGTCCCACGTCCTAATAAATTAGTAATGTGAATGGCTACACTAAAAAAAAATATTTATACATTTTAACGTTTTTCTTAAACTGTCGCATTCAAATTAATGAGTTTTATTTAAATAAAATCAATTAATTTTCGGAGTAAAAGTTTAATTTTTAATTAATTTTCATGATTTTCATTCTCAGTTGAATTTATCTTTTAAGTTTTAACCAATCATCTTCCTTAAACCATACCGTTGATTTTAATACTGTTTTATATTCTTTTGAATTTCAATAAATAAAATGTTGTACAGTCAATATCCAGAAAGACCCGGAATTAATTGACAGTTAATCAGACAACTTAACACATATATATCTTCGCTAAGAGTAAATGCTCAAAAAAGGTTGACCACATTTTGTAAATAGCAGGACTAGGGCTCTTTAGTATTTATCGTTTTATTAATCATATTTGTTAAATATATTGTAAAGTCGTCTGATTAATTGTAAATTAATTCCAGGTCTTTCTCATTATGACTGTAGTCTGTAGAGTGTAGAATAAAAATCCTGATAGTGTATTTATTTAATTTTGAGGGAATTTATCACACTTAATATTTCCCGTTGCAGGGTTATTAACTAACTTTATCCCCCTACAACTGGGCGAAAAAGTTACTTTTTCACCCTGCTATTCAAATTTAAAATTTCATACCTAATTTTTCCCGTCGTAGGGTGATAAAGTTACTTAATCACCCTACAACAATTTTATCGACCTGCTATTAAGTTGAGAAAAATTGAATAAAACTATATGTATGTTATTGTAATGGAATCATGCGGGCAAAAAAGTTTTTGCTGTGATTTTTACTTTTTGTAGTTTGTTTTTGAAGAAAAAAAATAGATAACAGCTTTCCAACAAAATTAGCGATGAAATTTTTAAGAAAATATATTTTTGATTGGATATCTAGATAATTGATTTATATGTCTTTCCTCGTTTTTATATTTTTATATTTTTTTCTCTTTTCCAAGGTCTTTTTAAGCAAGTTGTTTCATGATCTGATAATTTTAGGTGATTGCTAACCGAGCAATTGAGATCCTAGGGGGTACACTTGGATCCCAGAAACCGGTTCATCCCAACGATCACGTAAACAAGAGCCAGAGCAGCAACGACACCTACCCCACTGCTATGCATATATCTGTTGCTGTAGAAATCCACGAGACCCTGCTGCCCGGCCTCCAGAAGCTCCATGATGCCCTGGACGCCAAGGCCAAGGAATACGCAGATATTATCAAGATCGGTCGTACGCATACTCAGGACGCAACTCCGCTTACTTTAGGCCAAGAATTCAGCGGATATGTTCAACAAATCGCGTTCGGAATTGACAGGATAAAGGCGTGCTTGCCCCGTGTATATATGCTCGCCGCCGGTGGTACTGCCGTAGGAACAGGACTAAACACCAGGGTTGGGTTTGCAGAAAAAGTTGCAGCAAAGGTTAGCGCTCTGACCGGACTACCGTTCGTCACCGCCCCAAACAAGTTCGAAGCCCTCGCCTGTCACGACGCCATGGTCGAAGTTTCCGGAGCTCTGAATGTGATCGCCTGCTCTCTTATGAAGATTGCCAATGATATCCGATTCCTAGGTTCTGGACCAAGATGTGGACTCGGAGAGCTCTCTCTGCCTGAAAACGAACCCGGATCCTCCATCATGCCGGGAAAAGTAAACCCTACACAGTGCGAAGCCATCACTATGGTGGCTGCTCAAATTATGGGAAACCATGTAGCAGTTACCGTCGGCGGATCTAACGGTCATTTTGAGCTGAATGTTTTTAAACCAATGATGGTGGCGAATGTTCTCCGATCTATTCGCCTCATTGGAGATTCCGCATCCGCCTTTACTGATAACTGTGTTGTTGGTATTGTGGCTAACCGTGAAACTATTAATAAACTTCTTCATGAATCCTTGATGTTGGTAACAGCTCTAAACCCTCATATCGGATACGATGCTGCCGCTAAAATTGCCAAGACTGCGCACAAGAATGGAACCACCTTGAAGGAGGAAGCGATTAAGCTCGGTTACCTCAACGAGGAACAGTTTAATGAATGGGTACGTCCTGAGGATATGCTGGGACCTAAATAAACCTTTATAAATTAATTATTAAGTTTTTAAATTATATTTCTGGTGAAATAAAATGATCTTCCGCCGATTTTAGTAGAGCAGGATTGTCAGGATCGATCCTAATCGAGACTGTTATCAGATGAACTTAAATGTCTGACTCTGTTTTCAGATGAACTAAAATGTCGGACTCTGAGGATGAGGGCTCCGAGAAACAGTTTAAACTTGTTCTCCTGGGTGAACCACAGACTGGGAAAACATCCATCTGTCAACGGTGAATATTTGATGGAAACCAGTATTCTGTAGTTTAAGAGACTGTTAACGGAATTCAATGGAACCTCCATGTAAAGAGCTGCTTGTCCAATTTCTGATCAATGATCATGATTTTTGGTCTTACTCGATTTTTGCGACACAGAGAAGGACTGAAATTATTTCGACACATTTTAACGATAGAATAATTTTCCTGATTATACCTCATTCTACGGGTGTGAAAGGTATCGCTGTGACTCGGACATGACCCTCCTCCGCGAATAGAGGGTCACTAGAAATTACGTATACAGTCCCTTGAATGTAACATTTAGGGTATATAATATATTTCTTTCACTTCAGGGGGACAAAAAAATTATTTGAAAATTGATGAAAAATATGCATTTTCTCACGAAACCAATTAAACTGTTTTTTTTGCATTCATTATTTCTGATAGCAGAAATGCGCTAGTCCCTTTTACAGGAAAACTACAATTTAAAATAGTTAAATTTTAAAAAGGGAAACATGGATTTTGTTATTTAAGAATGTTAAACTTGTTTATACATAAACTTTTTTTTTCAAAACAGGAAAATCTGAATTTTTGATTTTATTTCTGTCCGATTTTGATTTTAGCCATTGGTTAATCTACTTAAAAAGATTTTACGAGACTACGATAGGGGTCGGTTTCATAAGTTAAATTCAACAAATAAGCTCAAAAAGAATGTCTATAGACTGGCTTTTCTGATTCACAAAAATTGTAATCAGATATATCTACGAATATTTAGTTTATTCAAGTCTGGTTCAATCTGAACAAAAGAATGTTCAGTACATTAAAATAACCTAATTTAATTAAAAGTTAAGAAACAAAAATACACACTTTTACTGCATAATCTCAGTGTTCTTTAGCTGAGTCCATCTTCTAAGAACCGAGAGAGAACATGTTGGACTTCACTCCTCTTCTGGGACCATATCCTTGATTTAGGTTCTTCTTGGATTCATGGTTTCAGTAGACTGATAATAAAGCGAGCGTACACGTATATTGTGTACACTTGGAGGTGTGACAGGCTCCAACTGTACAGTGTACAAGTTCCTTTTCCAGTTTAAGGGGGGGGTGTCGAGTTCTGTAGATTGTTTAATTTATCCTCGATGGTGGCAGAGTAGACTCTTTCATGGTCCACATAGGTTTTACACCCTTAAAAGCTTTGTCTGATCAAGATTTTCTACAAGTATGACTTGCGCATTTCTACTGCAGAAACAAAAGAAGGATATTATCAGAATTAAATAATTTTCAATCTAGAAAAACGACGATATCTTCCTAAAAAGAGAACCGTTGAAATTTTTTATTTTATTTTATTTTATGCAGCACAATGATTTAGATTCTTGTAATTTAAGGGAAAGAAAGAATGCTTAAACTGAACGATATAAATCCAAGCGCAGGGTTATTTTATATTTTTTACAATTCAGAACATATACATTTCAAGTATTCATTACACACCATTCGAAATTTTATGAATTTTTTTGCTTTTTTATTTTGTGAATAAAAATATTTTTCTATTTTAGGTACACAAGTAGTCAATTCTCTAAACAATATCACCCAACTACAGGAGTGGACTTCTACCTCAAAAGAACCAAATTACCGGGTAAACAAACTGAACAAAAAATCAAAGCTTTTTAAATTATGATTCTGGATTGTTTTTCACGAAACAAAAATACTCCTTTTTTGCCTGCATTTATCATGATATTACGAGTACATTGCGGAATATCAATTTTCCTAAAATCCAATATTTTTTTGCTTTTTTGATAACTTGCTTTGTGTAATTAATTTAAAACCGAGATTTGGGCTGAATGGGATAGTATACGATTGCTAAAAAAAAACATTTATATGATGTTTTTCAGACTAAAATATTTTTTAAGAAGTCCGATAGATGCATACATTGTACATATTAATTTGCTTTGAATAATTAATAAAAGTTTCTATTTAGGGTCGAAAAATATAGCTCTCAAATTATGGGACGTCAGTTCTACCTCTTTATCAGGTAAAAAAAATTATGGAAAAAAATGTCTCTGAAAAAAGTTTACAATATTTATAAATAACTTTTAATTACTTTTTGATTAAGCATAAACAGGTACAGGGGAAATTAGTTCCCAAACTAACTCTTCTAGCCCATTTCTAGCTTTGAGTGTTAGAAATGGGCCAAATCTGCAAAGTTATCTTTTCCAAGCGTATCTATATATAAATTTGGCTTGTCTGTTTGTCTGTTTGTCTGTCTGTCTGTTTGTATCCAATAAACGTCAAAACGGCTGAACCGATCGGACCCAAATTTTTTGTGGGACATCTAGGGAGCCCAGGGAAGGTTTATGAATGATCAAAATTTAAAATATTTGTCTCCATCAAAATTCGATCTTCATTAAATTCACGATATGTTCGAAAATGAAAAACCTGACATTGTCTTGAAAACGGTCAAAGGTTTTGATATAAAAGCACTCCTTTTATAATTTTGATTCCAGACAATAGTTTTAACTTGGGAATTGTTGTCCTCGTCATGCTTAATAAACTGATATGGGCCGGGATCCTAAAAACCCAGCCTTTCAATTTGTGCCCATTTCTAACACTCAATTAATTATAAGTTCTAAATAATCTTATTTCCAGAATTATAGGAAACCTGCGAAAATATTTATAAAAATCCGCGAAAATGTTGATAACAATCCGCGAAAATGTGGAAAAAATCCGTAAGTTTTTCCTCAAACCAGCAGAGTATCGACAATGATAATTAAACTTCATGAACTAAGTGGCACGTAGAGTTCGCCTATTTTAGTATTTCTTATGTTCAGGACGAATGCTGGATAAGTATGTGTTCGGGGCGGATGCCATTATGCTGGTTTACGACGTGACGAGCGCATCTAGCTTCGAGAACTTGAAGGAGTGGTTGGAACAATCTAAGTAAGTTACAAAATGGCAATTTTTTATCATAATTTTCGAAAAATCCAATTTTTTAAAGATGTCTTAAAGAAAAACTGCTGTGAATGGGGTTTTTTTTATTCTTAAACTTAAAAATCTATCCTCCTTTTATCATTGTTTTATTTTATTTTATTTATTTGTAAATTTTCTTGAAAATCATGTATTTTGTGGGAAAGGTATGAAAAAGGATGAAAAATTTGCCCAAGTTGATGTACAGTTTTTTGTTAATCCCCCAATTTATCAAAAATGGAGGGGGGTATTTCCGAAAATTATACACCCCTGCTATTCATTTCAAAACCTCCTAAAGGATTTTTTATTTAGAAAAATACTGGCTGGACAAGAGAAAAAACCTAGTTTTGCTCTGGTCGCGAACAAAATTGACCTAGAACACCTTCGCGCAATTAAATCCGATCGACATCACAAATTCGCACAGGACCACGGCCTGCTCACCTACGCACTGTCCGCCAAGACCGGGGAGGGTGTTGTACTCTGTGTACAGAAGATTGCCGCAGATTTACTCGGGATCCGTCTGACCAAGCAGGAGCAGGAACAGCACGGGGCCGTCGTCAAGGCTGAGATTGTTCAGTACAAGCAGGAGGCGGCGTTACCGCGAAACCCGCAAACCAGCACGGCATCGGCGGTCTGTGCCGTAATGTAAACAGGGTACTCGACCACAGCAATAATAATTCCTAGGAGATTAGATTTAAATTTGAATATAAAGCTATATACCAAAATGCCTTGATATCCCATTTTGTGAAACTATTATCTCATTTACAAATTAAAATGTTTAAAATCTATTTAATTTCTTTGCAGTCTAGAAACGGCTGTAGTTGTTGAAATTGAATCGTTTAATTTTAGATATTGATTTCTCACGTCTTTCTGTAATTAAATTTTTCACAAGTATGAAACATTATGTATTGTAATCATTATATTGTGTTTATTGTATTTTTATTATCTGCAATGTGTGTGATAAGCCTAACACAAATATAGTCAAATGCTAAAAATATATAATTAATGAGCTACTGTATATCTAGAAATTCGTCCAAGAATGCAGTGTGGTCCTCTAAGCTCATGCTCAATTATCAGATCTCTTTATGAACAAACGATCTCAAAATATAAAATATTCTCAATTATATGACATGTCACATGACGACTATATTGTAACATAATTTTAAACAAATTTACAATATTCCAGCACAGTTTCATTTTACACATTAATATATTTATATATACTAAACTTATTTATTAGTTGTTGCATGAACACCAGGTTGTAACTTTAAACAAATATAACTTTCAGAAAGAGAATGACCGGGTGAGAGAATGGATATATACTACGCCGGGTTTAACGGGTTTAAGCAAGTACCGCTTGCGTCAAACTCGGATACCCTCACATGTCTCACTCTACACACGAAAAGTGCAAAAGTAAGCTCCATCGAAAAAATATTAAAAAATATTTTTATTAGAACTGATGTATTTTTAAACATATTTAATTGTGAACTGTAATTTTCAATGTAACTAGTCTAACCTCCCCCTGCTCTATGTTTTTGATGTTATCAGCATGCTGGAACTATCTGGTGGAGGGGGGTGGGGGGTATGCCCCCTATCTTCAGTTATGAACCCCCTGCTCTAGGTGGTCAATGTATCAGTTTGCTGGAACTTTTGTGGAGGGGGGGTATGCCCCCTATCTCTAGTTATGAACCCGCTGTTCTAGGTGGTTGATGTATCAGTATGCTGGAATTATCTGGCGGAGGGGGGCATGCCCCCTATCTCTAGTTATGAACCCCCTGTTCTAGGTGGTCAATGTATCAGTATGCTGGAACTATCTGGTGGAGGGGGTGGGGGGTATGCCCCCTATCTCTAGTTATGAACCCCCTGTTCTAGGTTGTTGATGAATCAGTATGCTGGAATTATCTGGTGGAGGGGGGTATGCCCCCTATCTCTAGTTATGAACCCCCTGTTCTAGGTTGTTGATGTATCAGTATGCTGGAACTATCTGGTGGTTGCTGAAGGAGAGTATGTAACTAAATACGGTCTCGTAAACAGTAAACCCGGGCTAGCCAGGCTAGATCATCCTCCAGGTGGGTAAATTGATGGAACGATCTTATTAAAATATTGAAATATCTTTTTATTTTCTCCCTCTGCAAGTTAAGTAAAAATTCACACTAAATAAAGAATTGCTTTAGCTAAAACGCATAAAAAGTATAAAAAAACTCCATCTCTGAAAGTACTGCAGAAGACGTAATTTGTTGGCATCCTCCATTTATAAAATTATTTATATTATATTTATAAATATCACAATGGTAACTTTTAAACCTTAAACCGTGTGGAAGATATTGTTGTTTTTCTTGAAATATAATTGATTGACTTATTTTTACATTTGATTGCAAACCCTGGAAACCTCTACGAAATGCACAGAGGGGATGATAATTAAAAATGTTTATCCCGGCCGGGGGAAATAATAGAACATGATACACCAGTAAATATTATAGGAAGTGGTGAGGTTACCCAGCTGTCAGCAACACCAAGGCATATTCTCTCAGTAACATCTAGTGGAGAGTGCTGGACACATGAGGAGGGGAAGGTAACATAATAATACGGAGCGCAGAGTAGATAAATATGGAGAGAGAAGAAGCTCTGGGAAAAGATATAAATGGAGAACGAAGGGGCTCCAAGAGTAGATAGACATAAATAGAGAGGGATCTCCGGGAGTAGATAGACATGGAGAAATAGGAAGCTCTGGGAGTGAATAGACATAGATAGAGAGGGATCTCCGGGAGTAGATAGACAGGGAGAGATAGGAAGCTCTGGGAGTAAATAGACATAGATAGAGAGGGATCTCCGGGAGTAGATAGACATGGAGAAATAGGAAGCTCTGGGAGTGAATAGACATAGATAGAGAGGGATCTCCGGGAGTAGATAGACAGGGAGAGATAGGAAGCTCTGGGAGTAAATAGACATAGATAGAGAGGGATCTCCGGGAGTAGATAGACATGGAGAGATAGGAAGCTCTGGGAGTAAATAGACATAGATAGAGAGGGATTTCTGGGAGTAGATAGACATGGAGAGATAGGAAGCTTTGGGAGTAAATAGACATAGATAGAGAGGGATCTCTGGGAGTAGATAGACATGGAGAGATAGGAAGCTTTGGGAGTGGAAAAGTTCACTGAATTTCTAGAACATAAAAGAACTTTAGATAATTTTCATTCCACAGTTTCTTGTTCTCATTGTAAGATGTTCAAATTTTTATTTTATTCTTCAAATATTGTTTCTCTTCCCAGGGTTGGAGGCGGGTTCTGGTTGAGACGGAGGAGTCGAGGGTGAAGACTCCGTCGGAGGACACCTGCACCACGGTCTCCAGCTCCTTGGAACAGGAGAAGGAGCAGCTCGTCATTTTAGAGGCAAGAACCGTTTTTTTGGTCGAATTGCAGAAAAATCAGTTTTTTTAAAGGCTTAAATTTTGGTGGTAAATGAATTCTAGCAGGAAAAAACTTGAATTTTAATTACTTGTGCAATAAGCAAAATTTCCTGGTAAAGTGACAATTTTTTTTTTTTTTTACTCAAAGGTCCGAAAAGTACTCCGCCATGAAGATAACGAGTTAAGAAGAATAGTTTTTTTCTTTTTCACTCCAATTTGCCTTACTGTTACTCAAAACATTTTTTTAGTATTAAGTTTTAATCAT